CGCTTGCGACTCCCACACGTTCACAACAAGCACGACCCTCCTCCTGAGTCGGTCCCACAGTCAGCGTAGATACTATCTGTCCAGCTTTGGAATTTTCCCAGGGGTAGGAAGGTCACGTTCAACACAAGCCCGAGCAGCAGAGGGCGCGCGCTTGTTGCATGATGTCCACCTCCGAGACATGCAAGGTCAGCGCTGTCGAGGGTTGCGAGGCGTCGGGGATATCTCTCGATGGGACTCGAACCCCATGCGACCCATGTCTTTCGTCAGAGGTACTCTACCCCGGTCAGGCGCTCGCAAATGTAGCAGAGAGGTAAATGGCGCTGCTGGTGACAGGCGAGGCGGTGGGGTGAAAATCCGATCTGTTGTGCAGACCAATGGAAGTGTGTTGGACATGTATTTGTGGTGTGGGTTGTTCCCTGCCCGAGGTCAACAACGAAACAAGCGAACGTAGAACCCGAAACACGCCATTTATTTCGAATATACCGTAGCCCATTGTCCGTGATGACTAAAATAGTGTAATGGTTTGATTTCGGCTTCTATACTGCTGTAAGCGTCTCAGCATACCACAGGGGTTTCAAGAGTTTAAGGCCTGTTCTACATGCGGAATCTGCAGCACCCGACTTCTGAGAGGCCCAAGGCACTGCACCGGCTGCCTTTTCGTAGATAGAAACAACAAGTAATTAAAAGTAGTTGGCTTGTGACCACGGAAGGCGCCCGCGTCAGTCGGACCAGTATGGATATTGGAAGGTACTGAGCGGAGGGGCGGTTTAATATTCAATGTGAAGAAAACAAGAAGACAATAATAGCATCCAGTGTACGATGGCACACGGATACATTGTTCTGAAACGTAAAAAAATGAATGGATAGAATCAGCAACCCCCCGAGCTTAGCCCCCCGCAATCTAGACTTCAGTGGGTTGGCGCTGTTGGCAAAGCGCTGTAAAACACGCCACCCCAAATATAGCCCCCATAGTATGCGCTACCAAAGACGCGTGACGCATGGATGCGTGGAGTGAGGATTGCTTACGAAAACCTCACAGGTTGAGTGATGTAGGAGATTGCCGGACACATAGACGTGTTGAGTGAT